CATACATACATACATACATACATACATACATACATACATACATACATACATACATGGCAAGCCTGTCGTATCTCTTTCATTAGAGGTACTATCGTGCCAGGTCCACGACCACAGTTCAGTCCAACGACAGCAGCCCCAGCCTCCTCCAGTTTCCGGCAGGCTTGACCAAAGGGCACTCCGTCGTACGTTGCACCCCTGCCAGCTGGGACGAGTGTTATAACAGCCGGTACTCCTGAAGTAATGTAATTGACTGGGGTATAGAAAAATTACATCCCCCTCACGAAAAAAAAAATGTTAATGTGTTGCAATCGGTATAGCATCACCAATTTCAACAACAGGAGGGAAAAAATGATATTAGGGGACTTAAATTTTTTTTAAAAACATGAACAAAAATTAGTCGAGGTGTTTAAGAAATATCAAGTTGGGAATCGACTAAACTGAGGAGAACACTTCTGAAAAGTGGTTAACTGAAGGCATGTGATCAGCCCGTTTTTGCCTCAGGTCTACAAGAGAAGTAGAGGAAATGACGACAGTAAGAATGAGGAAAGAAAAAGCAGCTATGTTGTGGTGGGGAACCTAGAAATCTTGTTTTGGTGCCAAATTATGCAAATTGGGGTTATTACATATTATAGTACCTGGACATTTCCTGAAAAATATCCAGAAACGTATGTAAAACCTTGCTACACCCTAAAGCTGTCTTATTTTGTCTAAGTGTTTCTGCAAAAGCACATGTCCTTACCTTTATCTGCTGTTTTCTCACAATTCTTTTTTTTTTTTTCACACATTTTCCCATTTTTCTGCTCTGTTTCTTGTTCTATTTCAATGTAACTTTCACAACAACACCTAGTTCTAAATATTGGCTTGTTGAATTTTTTAATTAATGAAGTAGTTTTTGATTTGTGGACTTAGAAAGCATGAATTTTCCATTTTTTTTCATTATTTTGCAACAACCCAATTGTAAGTGTCTTAAAACTAAAGCATATGTCAAAAATCCAACAAGCCAAGTTTAAGAGCTATATATTTACTGTTGGCATGCCAAACCAGAAGAGAATAAGGGAATACAATGGGATTGAAAAAGGTATACAAAATCCAATATGGTCGCCGTTTCCATAGCAACCGATTCAAAATATACTTTTTGAACTATAGATTTCAAATCCCCAATAGCACACAATATCCCACAGCAAATACGGGCACTCTAGGCTTTGTAATAGCCAAAATAGACCTCAGAAAAACCAGCCCTTATAGATTTTAAAACCAAGCTTTGCTATGAACTGCTTTTTTGCGCGCTCATATGACGTTATGCAGTTGTGAACGCCGTACACAACTCTTTCTAAACTAAATCTAAACATAGCGACGAAATGCACATTGCACATATTGAAGAGAGGTCATGGGTTGAATTTTAAAAATAAATTACACTCTATTCAAAACACAAGGATATTGTTTATAGTAGACATTTCGAAAACAGTAAATATTCAGTAATAAAATTATATACTCACCATTTCCATACATTTTTATCGCTTCCAGGGCCATCATGGCCTCTCCCAGTTCTCCGAATGTTTCACCCACAATGAAGTCCACACCTGCTTCTGTTGCCCACTCCACTTGTTCCTGAGTTGAGATTTATCGATCGGATATAGTTATTTTTGCACTACACAACTGAAAAGTTTATTGTTTATTATAATCGAGAAGTAGTTTCTAGTTTTTGACGGACCACGTCTGGTACTTATGTTGTATGGAATATTTTTAAGAACAAGTCCTTAATCTAAAATGAACAGAAGTTCAGTCAAAATCTACTATTAAAATAATACGAGAGTATGGGGCACTGCTATCCAAATTTTAATGTGACACTAATGTGAGTGGAGAATCTGGATGTACATATCTACTAGATCAAGAAACTTCCGAATGCAGGACCTGAGCTTTCACAGGTGTTTTACAAAAATGTGGAAATAACATAATAGTTCTTCAGAAAAGCCATATATATTTACCTTGAAAATTGCTGCTACTTTCTTATTGCTTTCCTCCTCGCCTTGTCTGTAAATGGTTGTATTACAGATGTTTCCAGCAAAAAGTGTCCCTGTTGCCCAGGCAACGTCGCGTGCCAAAGCTAGGGCTTTCCTGTTCATGACCTCAAGTAGATCCTCTTTCCCGATCACTCTGAGCTTCTCTCGGTGGCCATAATACTGTGTAAGTAAACCACAATTATTTTGAACTTCACTTGATGTTAACAATTTCTTGCAGGAATCGTGACTGACCTCTTGCACAATATATGGATAAAATTTGTGTCATTTTACTATTGGAAATCATTCTGGGTTGTACGTACAAAAGATTCATACATTGTCATAATGATTGACTCAATATAAACTATGAAATTCAAGCTGGAAAAAAATGTACCTGTATAGATGGAAGAACTAACTATTTATGACAAATATACATGGCTTGCATTAAAGATTGTGAATGAGAATAGGGTGAAATAATTGTCATGACAGTAGGAAAAGCATGAATCAATTGACGATCAATTTTTTTGAGTCTCTTCATCAAACGAGCTCGTTATACTCAGAGGCAGACTCAGAGTCGTTGAACGCACAAACAAACAAAAAACACACTTTTGCAACAAAGACCATTTCTTCTCGGAGTGTTCTGCAAGCCCATGTCAGAAGCCTTGAGAATCTTGGCATTTCTCGGTCAACATATTGAGTCATTCTCACTCCACTCATCGTTTATTGGTTTCCTTCAATTACTGCTTTTGAAGTCATAGATTGTTAGTCTTCACTTTCCTTTTTTGTGTTAGCCAGTTGGTATCGCAAAATAGGTGACAGTGAGCTGGCATGACCATGGAGATGTTGGTATTTTATCTTTTTAAAAAAAATTCTGGAGCGACTCTGAGACAGGTAGAGGAGTTGGATCCATCAGCTCTGGAAAGATTTCAACCCAGAACCCATCTTATCTGGTTTCTAGGTTGGAAATTTGCGTGCAAGATGTTGCAGCGATTTCACTTGAGCGAATTGACTACTTATCGACATAAGTAAAATTAGTATATATACTCAACAACAAAAGTTACGCAGGTCATATAGCTAATTAAAGACGTGGCTGTTAAACCATATAAACCATATTCGCTAGAATGTAGGCCATGGCCGATTTTTGGTAATAAGTGATGCTTTGAGTTCATGTCACGAAGCAGAAAAATGCTTACAGTGTAAAATGAGGTCACAATGTGGTGGCGAAGAACTGACAAAAGCCGTTTTTGCGTCAGTAGGGGAGATGGAAAAATCCGCATATGGAGAGGACCCAACCAACAGTTTGCTGACAACAATGTCCTGTAGGTTGAAGCATGGGGTGCTCCCAGCATAATGATCTGGGGTGCAATCCCAACACTTGGGACCTGTTGTTTTCCAGAACATGCCTGGTCATGGTAACGGTGTTAATTCGTAGATCTAGCTCTACATCCAACAGGTATTTCCACCAACACCCGAACCTTATCCCGCAGCAAGGAAAACACTCGACCCCATACTGCAAGTCAAATTCATCTGTTTCATATGAAAGGCCAATGTCTCCAGAGAATTTTGATACCTTACTTTAACCTCTCAGTCAATGTTTAAGAGAATTGCAGCTGTTTCATAATAATCAAATATTGCTGAAGTCGGCTGCAATCCCCATGTTTGACACCAAACATCACTAGGGTACAATCATTATAACAAAGAAATAAAGACTTTTTCATCTGTGAGATTACAAATCAGTATTGTATTGCCTCAAACACGATGATCTGTCGTTATTTCAATAAAAACACCGAGCCGGTGTAACACGCTCAGAACACTACCGTGCAATAAAGACTACCGTAGTGGTTTTGGCGTAAGCTTTCATGCCATAACCACTACCGTAGTGATTTTTGCACATGCTGTAAACACCCTAGTGACTTTGGCGTACGCTAAAAACACTATCTCTAAGCTAAAAACACTACCGCTTACACGCCAGATTGACTACCCACGCCAAAAACACTATCATCATTCTTCGTCAATAAACACTACTGCATTTGTTTTCGTAGTTTAGACATTATGCTCAAAACACTATCCCAGTATTTTTAAGACCTGTACATCTACCTTGGGCTATTATAACTAAGAGATGGCACCTGAAATGGGGGTTTAGCTTCAAATTTTTGTTTTTTCCTTTAGTTTAGCCACTATTGTGTCATTTCCCCAAGTTAATACCTCAAATGCCTCAAATAGAATATATCTCTTTTAAAATGCTTTTGAAAGGTAGTGTCTACTACTGGAAATAAATTTTGAATAAAAATTGCATTTTCCTCGAAATCATATTTTTCTGTACATTTTTTGCTAAAGTCAGAAGTTTAAGAATGGATTTAAATTTAAATGAAAGCTAAGCAAGATATCACATGCTTTTTGAATATCTTATTTCTACCTAAAGTTTGTAAGTTTTAAAAAAAATAGATTAAATCTAGGTCCAAGGCTTCAGAAAATTTTCAATTACTAATTTTTTAAAATATGTTTTTCTCCAAAATTATAAATCTATAAGATATATGGAACTGAAAAAGCTTGTGATGTCTTGACTTTTTTAGATTTAAAAAACATGCCAAAAATGGTTCATTTTTCTTTATGGCCACCGTTACCATGGCAACTGCAAGATTCATAGATGATAGTAAATTACTCACAATACGATCTTTAATAGCATGAGTGGTTTTTTAAAGTCTCTATAGTGGTGAATTCGGCGTGAGGAGAAGCCGAAAATAGTGGGGTTTGTGTGATTGTATAATATATATTGCCTGAGGCTAAGAATAATATACGTACATCTGATGGTTGATCTAGATCTAGATCTAGTGGGGGGTTTTTAGGGACAGTAGTTTATTTAGCGTGATCACTGGCCGGGATAGATCTAGTTTTTTCTGTGTTTTTTTTTTAAGCCACCGTCACCATGGTAACGGTGGCCATAATATCTACTTGAATAGTTATTTTTGCTTGAAAGAGAGTGAACTCATTGATGTAGATCTAGCCAGAAATAGTGATTTTGACGTGAATAAGACTATAAACGCAAACGATAGTAGATTTTGCGTGATGGTAGTGAATTAACTTTACGTACATCTGATGGTAGTGTTTTTTGCTGGACAGTGAAGGTCTGTGCTATAAACGTGGCCAATATGACTATGGTAGTGTTTCTTGCATAGAGTGATTTTGGCGTATTACACCGGAGTCCTCGCGGCAAGTAGGCTCTATGCTGTAGTGTACTGAGTGCTCCCCGTAGTTTCGCGGAAAGACTCATGCAAAATAATTCCAAGCTGATGACTTTAAAAAGAACGGTTCTTTCTATTGGTATATTTTTAGCCTGCATTTGACACATTTATCTTTGAAAACTTCTACAAATGGAAGTGCTTTGTGACATGTCGAGAAAAGGAAATACAAACTGTCACTGATCCATGCCGCTGGTCTCATTGTTCATGATTAGACAATCCTGCAGACTTTGTATTGCTTCTTCCTTGGCACGAGTTGACTTCATTCTGAAGACATTCGCGCTGAAAGGGGCTAACCGTCTTTGGACTTAGTTTAGAGGATGCTAAAGGAGAGATCACAGTTTCCCACAGTGATACTCCTAATCTTCCAGTTCTTCTAGTAAGACGTTGGAGCACTTAGTCTAAAGCAGTCAGAATCTTGGCTTGGTTTTATCGTTTCTTCTGAAATGTGTCTGGGCGCCTTGTTCACAACTCTTACAGTGATCTTGAGACAAATGAACTCAAGGATGCTGAAATTGCTCTCATCATAATCACTGATCTAGATGTTATCACTACTATCAGTGATTCAGTCACAACTAGGCTAGATCTAGGAACTGAACCTGGCCGGGAAATGACGTGTAGAGTGTAAGCATGAAGGTGTGGGCAAATTTGTTGCCTGTCGATTCATAATGGTGGCCATCATAGCATGTTCGACTATACAAGATTTAAAAAAAAAATTATTTTGGGCTGTAATACCTACTTTGGTCCTTTTTAAATCGTGTTATTTTTGTGTGACTTGTTTTTGTTGTTTTTTCAGCCTGTATTTTACACATTTCACTGCGTTTCTTATTTAAATTTTGAATTCTCATACCGTGAAAGCCAGCACGACATCACTTCCCGCATGCACGAACTCCTCATGCAGCTGAGTCACTAGTTCCGGGTGGTCTATGACTACTTCAGGAACGAAGGCACCTGCCTTAAGGTAACCTCTTCGCTCAAACTCAAACAAATAACCCTCGGCCACCATCACATTACTTCCGTTTTGGAGACGTTGCAGTAAACCTGCCGAGAGAAAACAAGAAAATAGTATGGATTACATTACTGAACGTTTATGTGTTCGCGTAAGCCGAATTTTGAAGAGGTGAAAAATCGATTAAAAACAAAATCTCACAAAAATACCGTTCCATTTTAGTTGCACTTTTCCCTGCTTCGAAGACAAACAACGAGGCTGGCTGATCGATCGATAGGAGGCAAGTAATTTTTCTTAAAACTTTCTGCATCTTACCCGACAATATTAACGAGATCTTCCGTTTGGCCAATAATCATGGCGTCATGCTATTTTTATGCTCTGCAGTGGACCTCATTGTTTCTACCTCGATTCACGATTGTTTCTACAAGCTTCCCCTAATTTTCATGGTCACCAATCATCGGTCTGAATTGGTATTCTTGTCTTAACTGTAAAGATTGTTCTTTATTTACGATATTCATTTGATGGCAACAGCACATATCTCGACCGGAAGTATGACGTGTCACCACAGTCATGATTAGATACAAGTAATCAATTGAATGCAGAATATTCTGCCAGGTTGTTGGTTTCCTTTATTCCTTTTTTTTCTCAGATTCATCAGATTCACCACGTGCATTCGGCTAATATAGTAATTAGGAGATGAATGGGCTTAAAAACATAAAATAAGTCTGACTGACTGATTTGAACTCAATATGCTAAGGTGTTAACACAGGTGTTATGATTAGTAAATATATGAAAACAAAATACGTGTAGAAACCTAGACTCTAGATTTTGTCCCGTCAAAATAAGTGTCAGCTGCGTATAGCATCTAATTTACACACACTTGCCTCGAGCGTCTTGATTGGGCATTTTTGAGCGTTGCAAAGGTGCATATGCAATACACAACTCACGAGTCATCAGTCACAACTTGCAACATGTTGTGAGTGGTGAGTTTATGTTCAATCAGTCCTGGGCGTACCTATAAAATCTGCACCTCGAAATGTTGCATTCATATCGAAACAGACGAACTACAGATATGCCTTAATAACTCAAGGGAAAACAGAGAAAGAGCTGTCGGACGCCTGCAGTGAAGACCAGCAGTCACTAATCTCCGTGACAAAGTCCAGCGGCTAAGTTGGCGTGAAGGCTGGTGAGTCGGTGGAACAGGTATCCCAGGTATTTGGTGTCCACCCAAGCACCTTCTGAACAGATTACAAGCGAAAGCGACCACCAGATCAACCAAGAAGCGGAAGACCATGGGTGACAATCGTGTCATCGTTCGTCGGCACTGACGCGATCCGTTCCTGCCGGCTGCAGAGACTGCCATGACAACCATGGGAACGACTGGACTTTGTCACGGAGATTAGTGACTGCTGGTCTTCACTGCAGGCGTCCTTACCAGGGAGCTGTCCTAACACCAAGGCCTCCGCAACAACGGCTACAGCGGGAACAGGCGGAACGCACAGTGGAGGAGAGTCCTCTTCAGTGATGAAAGCAGGTTCTGTGAAGATCCAGCGAATGGCCGTGTCCGTGTGTGGCGTATTGACACGACTCGCTAAGACGACAACAAATTCTGAACGTGACCCCTGGGGAGGGGAGAGCGTGATGATATGGGAGCCATGGCGTTGAATCATAGAGTGGGACCTGTCATCTTCCAGAACATTGGTCCAGGACGTGGAAACGGCGTCACAGCTCAGCGCTACATTGCACAAGTCTTTGCACCTCATGTGTTGCTCTTTCTACTGAGGCATCCTAACTTCCTGTATCAACAAGACAGTGCACGACCACATACATGCCGCACGTGCTACCCAGAACTTCTTGGCGCAGAACAATGTCAATTTATTGGCACACCCACCTCGCTCACCTGACTTTGAACCGTATTGAACATTTGTGGAACGTGATCCAAAGACTGCTTAACCAGATGCAGCCATGGCCTCGAACAGCAGCCCAGTTGACTGCAGTCATCATCCAGGTGGCATCCAAAATGACCAGATCAACTAAATGAACAGAATATGCCTCGCTGTAATCGCTGCACGTGGAGGCCATACGCGTTACTAAGTTTGCTCACCAAGGTCAAGGTCAACGTGAGCTCAGATGAATGTGTTGGACCATCAGTTCATGTCAACTACATCACTCAAGAAGTGTGCAAAGTTTCAGTTAATAAACAAAACAAATAACTTGAAACCTATGTGGTGCATTTGGTCAAGAATTGTGTTGCAATAAAAATTCGCGGTTTTTTTTTTTTTGCACCTCAGTATATTTGGCTTGATTTGAAAAGAGCTTTTCCTTTCTGAATGAAGTTACGGTCTTTTTCAGATCTGCATTTAAATTTGAATAAATCTTATGCCATGTGTACAAATGGTCAAGCCGTAACTATAGACGAATTTCCGATTCAGTTTGTTCCAATCATTAAAATTCTTGGAGTATATTTTAGCAGTACAAAACCGACGGAAGAACTAGAAGAAGAATGGAAGCCCAGGATCGATACCCTCCTCAGAATATTTGACAAATGGGCAAGAAGAGATCTATCAATTCTTGGGAGAATGCTCTTAATTAAAACTTTTGGAATAACCGAGTTTCTTTTGGTAATGCAAAGCATATCGTTACCAGAAGATGTCCTTAGCCAAGTGAGCAGAATTTTTTTTAGATTTCTGTGGAAAAAGCGTTCTTGAAATAGTAAAACGGAAGAAACGGAAGGTTATGTGTTCCGAGCTTGAAAACGGAGGACTGAAAGTGACTGGCATGACTAACTTTGAAGATTCCATTCTCTTGAGCTGGGCGGAGGCACTTCTTGCTCAAAAAGCTACAACGATGGACAAAAGTCTGGCAGTCGCTGTACTCAAAGATGTTGGTGGGTTGCAGGTTTTTAGAAGCAAGGTAAAAGCAAGTTTAAAGGCCTCGTAAGTTTTGGAGAAGAGTGATAATTAAATGGTTTGCTCTAATAAAGACACAGATTACGTCTTCTCGTTAAAGACTATTTTTAATAACGAATATATAACCTATAAAAATCAAACCCTCTTTTTACCATCCTGTATACAAAATGGCATTTTAGCAATAAAGGATGGACGATAACAGAGTTTAGAGCAAAATATGGATGCAATCCACGTTGTGTTTTAGACTACATTATTATATCAAATGCGATGAGGATTGTGTATTTTAATGATGACAAGAATGACAACTTTTATTTCAGGGACGCAATTGTAGGTACATGTACTATAAGGAGAAACGTTTTCTTTTAACATTAAGTGGAATTGAGCCTCCACTGTGCATAGGTATTTGGAACAGAAAATATGCTGTTGATATTAATGACAAACATTGGCAAATAGTCCATCACGCTAGGGAAACACGTTTGAGAACGTTAAATTGGAAAGTACTACATAATATTTATCCCACTAACATTACTGCTCTTCAAAATGAAATTAAAGGAATCTCAAAACTGCGAATATGAGCCTGATTTAGTTTTATTTAATTGTAAGAAGGTCCAGCCACTTTGGTGAGAAATTGAAAAAGATTTACAGGTCCACGTAGGTATATCAATTGTAATTAATGAGAAAATAGTTATACCTAGGGCAGTGAAGGGAATCGATGTAGGTCCCCGGAATCGGAAAATTAACTACATGTTAAGAAATATAGAAAATTATGAGAGTGAATGTAGTGGGCTAAGAGCTAAAGGCTAGGCTTCCAGTCTCCATCTCATGCCACTTTTGTTTCGTCCCCGCATTAGGGCGAGCTGAAATGGAAGACACATAGTTGTGTGTGTGTGTGTGTGTGTGTGTGTGTGTGTGTGTGTGTGTGTGTGTGTGTGTGTGTGTGTGTGTGTGTGTGTGTGTGTGTGTGTGCGTGTGTGTGTTAAGCAATTTGTATTCTTTTTTTAAACATCTCTTTGCCTTATTTATACTCTTAGTCAGGTGCCATTCGCGGTCGCGTGTCATGACATGGGGATAGAATAGGGATATAACATTTCCTGCACTTAATACTAACTAGTCTGTCTTTCCATTTCATTAATAGTGGCCTATACATGTTCTATTTCTTTGGAGACGGGGACTTTGAATTTTAATGCCCGCGGTTTCTGACTTGTCGCTGGACGCAACTTCGCTTCCAGTACTGTGTGTTGTTTTTTGTGTGCATATTTAAATGTAATATATTTATATGCTAATGGTGAATTTAATAGTAACACTTTAGGAAGAGGCAATCCTGTAATTCTCTGGTCGTCTGAGCATGGTTTTTCAGGCTTTTTACAAGCTCCGACGATCACAGAAGTACCTCGGGACAGGTTGCGAACGACGATAGCGATAACTTGTAAACACACATATTAGTCTGCTTTGACTATGAAAATTAATATTACAAAGATTATTGGCCACATTCCCTTCACTGTTTTGAAAATATGATAGTATAGACGTAGGGCGGAAAACACACTAACAATGTCATCACTTAGAAGCGGCCCCCATGTGATTTTTCGGCATACTTTTATTAAATGCTAGGGTATTTCCAAACCACCACCACCACCACCACCATCATGATCATCATCATCATCTTCATCATCATCATTGCCGACTTAACAATTCCCCTTTCCCTTGTTTCGTTTATCTAGAAAACATAACAATTTGCACCATGTGTGTTCATTCTTACGTAACCAAAAAATACGGGCACCAAAATCAGGACACGGGACTAAAAAAAAGAAAAGATTCCAGCAGATATCTACATCAAAGGCCAGACAATGAAAAGAGAAGAAACACTACACTACCTCGGAATAGTGTTTGAGTGTAAAGGAGCACCCATGGAAAAATCGTAACAAAGGCCAGGAAAGGGCTGAATGCAGTAAAGGTGATGGCAAGAGACAGGATGCTGCAGAGAAATTTCGTCTTGCTCTTTGACATGCTTGTCTTGTCTCAGGTAGATTATGGTTTTGGTCTGCTGACACTTTCCAAGACTCAACTTAGAAGGCTGGACGTCATCCAAAACAAAGGAATGAGAGCCATACTCGGTTGCACAAAAGATACATCAGCTGCTGCAATGCGATATGTGCTAGGCCTAACCGGCATAAACGAAAGACACAGGCTCGCACCGGTCAAAGCTTATCTGAAAGTCTGCACAGATCCACAGAATCCTCTTCAGGACAAAGTAGGTCGTCAGACTAACCCATGACTTAAACGGGGCACTGAGTGGATGATCCGGGCAGTGCAAACCATTGAAGAGTGTGGACTCACTGTGGGGGCAATAAGACTGGGGGAGACATGGGTACAGCTTGCAGACGAGGGGAAAGACAGATTCACTCAGGTGATTGCTACATTAGGGGGTGTAAATGTCGTGAATGGCCTGGAGGAGCAACATAATATTCTGATATCCACACTCTAATTGAAGAGAACTGCAGAGAGGATGAAACCATTATATTCACTGATGGCTCTGTTCAGCGTGGGATCAAACCAGGCTGGGCTTACACGGCTTGTTGCAAAGGAGTAACAGTCCAGCTCACTACATCAAGCATGTGTATGGAGATCAAGGCCATCACTGAGGCTCTGAAATGGCTTTACAATAATGGATACCAACAGGCTACCTTTGTATTATTAAGCTTGGAGCATCCCGTCTTACTGAGACCCCAGTTCTAGATTCAAATACGTACAATTTAACGAAATCTTACTCAAAAGATTGAAATGTTAGATATGAATCCACAAGGTAAAAGTTAAAAAAGTAAGGCCACTTGGAGAAGAGTTACTTTTCAGAAAAATGGGAAGACATGGAAGCCTGGGATAGGAAACTGTATTGGGTTTTTTTTTTCTTCGTGTTTTTCGTGTTTTTCTTTTGATTTTTCTTTTTCTAAGGGAGGGGAAGGGGGGGGGGGGGGGGT